TCAGTGTGTGTCAGTGTGTGTCAGTGTGTCTTTATAAGGAGATAATGTGTCCGGGTTATGTTGATCTGAGATCAGTACTGGTGATGCTGTGTTGTATTCCTCTGCAGGGGAAACTTGGTGAAGGCCGTTTGGGTTCCCAGTGAGCAGATAGTGGAGCTCCAGTCTCCAGCTGTGAGTATTTATCTCTGACTTACACCTGCTATTAAAATCTGTATCCAGACATCCTGATGATCAACGATCCGATCTGTCCTCTGTGTTTAAACCTGCGGGTGGCAGCAAATCAGGAAGGAACCTTTATAAAGGTTGTGAAACGCTGCCTGAGACAAATTCTTAACTACGTGTCTCCTTTTGTAAATTCGGCAAATGTAAGAGCACACTGTTATTTCTGACTGTTGATCATTTCCACCCGTAGGACGCATCGTTTGGGGCTTGCGTGGCGCAGAGAATCGAGTCAGCGCTCGTCTTTGAGGCTCTAACTCTCATTCATTCTGCTGTAAACAATCAATGTCCTCACCATCGTCTTTTCTGAATGTTTAAACTTCTCTCCCGTCCTAACTGACAGATAATCTGATTATAAAACCGTTACCGGCTGATGTTAAATATATATATAATGTTATAATGATGCAGTGAATGACCTTAAATACCTGAAATCTACAACATAACTCAGTGTATTTTTCTGTTTTATTCATTAATAGAAATTCCATGTTACTGGCTAAAATAACAATGTATATTAGGCTGTAATGTACATAGAATAATGGAGTTATACCTGGCTTTTCTTTGTTCTGTTATCGACATTATATAGCAGCAAACAGTCGCTCTGCTCTCTAAATCATCCATTTAAAAGCCCATATCGATCCAGCACTAATTAGAGGTGGGTCTATAATGTAGCTGAAAGGTCCGAACCACCGTGCAGACCACCTCCAGATGTGGTCCTCCAGATGTGGTCCACTTGTTGCATTAACGTGAGTTTCTCTTTATCTGGACGATGTGTGATACAGATTGTAACACCAGGTGTAAGTGACACAAACTGTAAATAATAAACTTTGTGGTAATAAGATGTGAGTCAGATTGTTGTCATGGTAACGTTTGCGTGCGCAGGGAAAGTTCTGGCAGACGATGGGCTTTTCTGCCGACGGCAAGCAGCACCTCCTCCCTGAAGAGGCTCTGTACCTGCTGGAGTGTGTGAGTGGCAGATAAAAGCTCTTTCTGTCTGTTATTCAGTATATTAAATACATGTTTAACCCTCGCTGTGTGACACACTGATGCTCTGCGTTTCCAGGGCAACCTGCAGGTGTTTTACCGGGACCTGCCGCTGTCCATCCAGGACGGCTATGAGAGGTTTCTGTCCTCCAGCAGCGTCAGCCTGCAGCAGTATCAGGTCCAGATAAAAGCCCACACACTCTGACGGAGGACCGGACTGCTGAACCGCTCTAACAACGCTTTCTTTCTTCCATCACAAAGGTGTTTGCACATTTGAAGAGGCTCGGCTACGTGGTGCACAGGTTCGATCCCAGGTGACAGAATCTTAACGCCGCATTCAGACGGAGTATCGGTGGAGCTGTGGGGACGGCAGTGGTTTGTTGACTCTGGACCCTGAATGTGGTTGTTGTGTCTCACAGTTCGGAGCCGTCGTCCTACGCGAGGCAGCTGAACCTCCTGCAGTCACAGAGAGACAGAGCAGGGAGACAGGTGAAGAGGAAGCGCAGCGCCAGCCCCAACGCCACATCCAGGTAAACAGAAGATCCGCCTCTTTCACTGTCAAAGTGCACCTAGGGCGACTCTGTCTGTGTAACCCATCAGGGTAAAATGCCATTTAATCGAATGACCAGGATCTTTCAATAGCCCTATTGACACAGTTTATTAACAACTTTTAAGAATTTTAGCTGATAGAACACTGAAAACCTTTTTTCCCTTTTTGCCTAAATATCAATACATATACATAATAATATGTATGCAGTTATACTTATGTGTGTAATTATATGCATCAAAACCTTGATTTTATTATCCCAAACACTGCCCAATAAAGAGAAAAAGTAGGCGAACCTCATTATTTTATTGATATAGAACAAAACCATTTGAATTATTTTTAGGATGGCAGAGCTACTCGGGACAATACAGAACATCTTGAACCGAAGATAAACATGTTTTCAAAGTCCCATTGTTATATCTTATTATGTAATATTATCCATCCCAGCAACTGATTTGGTCCTCCTGATCTTCTCTCTGCCCTGGTAAAAGCTTCAATTGCTGTAAACCGTCCTGTTTGATTGGTTTTTTACTCAAAGCGTCACAAATGTGAAAATCTTTTCAGTTTCAGAGTCAAAAGAATCGCGTAACAAAAATATTTAATTGATCTAAAATATTCACAGTTGTTGCCCCTTCCGATCAGTTTTTAGATTTAACACTACTTTACAACAGTAAAATTGGTCACTTCTGTGTTATTGCGCCTGGTGATCAGTGGTTGATTCTGTAACCTATTTCTATTCTGCAGTCACACTGACGTTTTCCCGGCTGACCTAGAATGGGAGGCAGGAACTGACGCTCCCGTCTCCGGGGATTCAAGGGACCGGCCCGCTGCAGCGTTCAGCACGATGAGCGGGGCGCAGGACCTGGTGGATGACGGACCCTGTCCGGGGCCAATCCGGACTCACCGACTCCGGTCGCTCCACCTGGCACTTCAGTCCATCCTCGTTCCCCCGACTGGCATCCACAGCGAGCGGCAATCCTTTCCGGCTTGCCTGTTCCCTCCGGTACTTCCTCTCTGCTTCCCCCTGAGGGTTCTGACTGTGGGGGTCTGTGACCGTCAACCC